CCTTCGGGACATAAAAGAGATGTTAATAAGTATGAAAGGTAGATCCAAAGGCCTAATAATTATATAATGAGTGCTAAAAAGGTATTAATATAAGTGGCAGATGTGTTGGTAATTATGATTTATTCATAATATCAAAATCACTTATTTGATTAGACAAATTACTATATTCAACTAATTCACATCTGTTGTTGTTATTACATGCCATCAAGTCGTTTGTAACCCTATGCACAACGGAACAAAACACGACTAGTTTCTGCACCATCCTCATGATTGATCTCATTGATACAGAAACTGGGTCAATGCATCTCATTGAGGGGCTTCCGCTTTTTCGCTGCCCCTCTACTTTATCAAGCATGATGTCCTTCTCCAGGGATTGGTCTCTCCTGACAGAATGTCCAAATTATGTAAGACAAAGTCTTACCATCCTTGCCTCTAAGGAGCACTCTGGCCGTATTACTCCCAAGACAGACTTGCCTGTCCTTTTGGCAGTCAATGGTACTTTCACTATTCTTCGCCAGCACCACAACCGAACCCATTGTGACATAGCTTCCAGCATCACAGCAACAGCCAAAGCACCATAGTGTGGCAAACTGACAGTCAAGTGGTGGAAACTCATTCTAGACCATTTTGAATTTATTAATATGCAAGGCTTTGAGCTATAAGTGAAACTACAATTAGAGCTATTGAAAGTAAGTTTCAAGCTTCCAATTTGAATTCCTCAGGGTAATGAAAGTAGGAGAGATATGTCTAGATTAAATAAGAGGAAAAGCATAGCAATTAGAAGAAAATTTTATTTGAAAAGGGAGTTGAGTTGAACCTATAGGATCAAACCCACATTCATATGGACTGAGTTTTTTCTGTATAAATATTTAGTTGGGGGAGTCAAAGTACAGTAAGAATAAGGAGAGATGTTAATAAAGAGAATAATTATAAGATTATTCTTTTCTAGGTTAAATCCAGATCTAGCTAATTGAAGTTATCTCTATTGGTTATGCTAAAAGAATATGATCTTCATCAATAAATTGAGATCTAAAGGAATAACCAAGCTACAGCAACTGTCAGTACCAGGGTGTGGCTTCAAAACCAAAAGGGTCTTTAGAAGTAAAATTATATATTAGTTGACATACAAGGCAAGAAGTTAAAAAGACTGAGCCAATCGAGACCTATAGCTTTTGGGGACTTAAAGGCTTGAAAGTAAACAAGCGGCCATTTAGCCCAGAAGCAACAAAGCCCACATGGAAGCAGCACACCAACATGTGTGATCATGAAGGGCCAAAGGGACCAGGCTTCAAACACCA